TGTGTCCTACAAAATCAATGAACACGATGCTTCAAGAAAGTACTAAAATTTCAATAATTCAATTGAGTGGTCAAATGATATCGATTCAAGTGATTTTTTTTTTTGTAGAGATGATATTTGAATGAATATCTACAAAATAGACTATTTGGATTAGTGAAATACAATGCAGAGTATGCCCTACAAGAATGTCTTATTTGAGGGATCCCTCAATGATGATGTATATATGTCAAAATATTTGTATGTAGAGAGAGGGTAGAGCTAGAAACTTATTTAGAGGGGCCAGAGATAAATTTTACTAAAACTATATGCAGTTATTATGTATATTTCATTAATAATTGATACAAACGTTATTGGAGGTGGGAGAATTTGAACACATGACCTTGAATTCATAGGTTATTGCTCTTAACCTTGAGCTTAACAATTATAATTCCATGACATAAATTTTCACATTTAAAGAAAAGAAAAACTACGGTAAAACTTGCCATCTAGAATTGGATTTAACGCAATCTTTCTAGCTACTTTAGAGGCCTAATAAAGATCTTTCTAGGCTACATACTTCTCATTTGTCCATTCCTTTCTCTTTTTCCATGTTAGACTTTTTGCGCAACAACACAAACATGTTCCCTCCATGTTTCTCTGAGGTCATCTCTTGTTTCTTTAATCTATTCCAGCTAAGCACACCAATTTATTATTATTTGCACTGTTATATATAGGAATTTGTTAATTAATTATGTCGCCTCCACGTTGGCAGACCCCACGCAATGTGACAGTTTACGGGACCTCAAATTAATAGAAAATTAAGATAAAAATATAAATTAATTTGCCAAACATAAAAATATGTACAGAAAACGGCGAGTCCTTGTTAGCTAGCCATGTGCCACCAAGATCACCATCTGAATAATGTTAAAATCCCCTTTGTAAATTAATCTATTGCATATTTCATATAATACTCGTGAGAGCCTAGAAGAAGTCAAAAAATGTCCAAGATAATTTCAATAATATATAAGAAGCTCTTAAAACTAATGTTTGTCAAACCAAAATTATAATATTTTGATTAAAAAAACAAATTAAAAATAAAATTTATATACAATTTCTAGGCACATATCCCATATGCTTCTCATTATTTTATGCAATTACATAATGGTATGCACAAATTAAACGTGGAGTTCTTGGATTAAGAAACTAATGTTTAATTAGACTGCATTAATTATATTCTCATTTTGAGGGAGTATAAATTACAAACTTGATTGAAGTACTCTCATCATCACACACCAAGTATCTTCTTTCACAAACCAAAGACTAAAGTTCTTTCATCTCTAATTTGCTCCCAAAATGGCCAAGGTTCATCCTCTCTCAATATCCAACACTGGTGATGATGCTTCTACTACTAGCACTTCATCATGTTCTAATAACAAGTACGTGACCTCAAAGAGAGAAACATTCACAATATGGATGAAATCGCTTGTGATGCAAGGAAAAGGATGCACTGCGTTTGACGAAAATGGAGAGATCGTTTATCGAATCGATAACTACGACGCCAAGCACAGCAACGAAGTTTATCTCATGGATCTCCGTGGGAAACTTCTCTTCACCGTGTGTGAGAAGAAAATGTGCTTTTTTCCAAGTTGGAAGGGGTATAAAAACAATGGTGCCAATAAGGCATTGTTTCAAGTGAGAAAAAATTGCAGATCAATTCTTGGAAAGAAAGGGTTTGCTTATAAAGTAACCATGAGATCTGATGGCAGCTGTTACCGGCTAGAGGGTTTGAGTGGTAAATCATCAGAATTCAGAATAACAGATAGCAATGGAGGAGTTGTAGCAGAGACAAAGAGAAAGCAGTCAAGTTCAGGAGTTGTATTGGGAGATGATGTGTTCACTTTGGTGGTGGAGCCTCATGTTGATCACTCCTTTATCATGGCCCTTGTCACTGTTTATGGCTTAATTAGACATCAAATATGACTTAATTAGAGCTGTCTCAGATACGTATATGCACGTATAGACCATATTCTTCTAGAAATTATATGAAATCAACTGAGTCTTTTTTTGGCCAATTTTGTACTTATAGTGATCCATAAGTAATACATGATCACTTTATCAAGGAATAGAAATTGATTCTCATTTCTCATTTCTCATTTCCTCTTCTCGTTGGCCGTACAAAAAGGAAGTATTTCATGTTTTGATTATCAGTCTATACTCATCTTGGCTTGCTTTAACTATCTCTTAAAGACAATGATCATCATATGGAAATCAGAATTTGATAGGAGTTTTTATTTGACTTGAGGTAATGAAGATCCATTAATCATGTTGTGTATTAGACCGGCATGGCCACTACTAAGTTCAAGATTATTGTCCCTAACTTAACTACGTAAATCTAATACCTTGGTTGGTTAGGGGGAATGCACCCATCCAAGTGTGAGGTTTTAACTCGAAAGGTGTTTTTGCATTTGTTTCCATATTACTAAGATAAATTAGTTAAAGTAAAAACAATTGGTGAAAGTTGCCCTCATCTTCCTCATGTTGTATAATGTTCATTCACCCAAGTAATTATTCGGAATGCTTAAAGACTCAATTAATTTATATTCTATCATCAAACGATTCTATGAAATTTGCCCATGCTGTTCCCAAAGTGATAGGCAAGACCACACAATGTGACAAGTACTGAGGAGCCCTAACTACTAGATCATAACCGCGTGATATACCCTCCATAATTAAATTATGATTAAAATCACAACCATAATTAAATTATGATTAATATCACAACCGCGTGATATATAAGAAATTGATATATATGTAGTTTAAAGCGTGAAGTCCTTGTTTGTTAGCCAGCAAAGTGTCCACCCTCCGAATAATGTTGAAATCCCCTTTGTTATTTCTCTATTGAATATGTATATATATATAGCTCATATGATGCTTGTTTCGTAAGAACCTGGAACGAGTCAGAGGATGACAGTAAGATCAATATACATATTTCACCTATTCTAGAGACTCTAAAGATGCTCCAATTGTTTGGATCTAGATTTTTTTCGTTCATGGGCCCAAAGCAAATGCGCCTTATGAATGACGACAGTTCAAGAAAGAAAATGCTTTGGGCCTAAGAAGAGACTTTCAAGCCCACATGAGTGGTTTGAATGACAAAAGAAGCCGAGCTTTTCAAATCAAGGGAAAGTTTGCCTCACCTAGAGAGCTAACAAAGTGAAACTTGCTTACTTAGTGTTTGTGTTTTGAAAGAAACAAGCTCGACCACAAAATGAGATGTTCTACCCTTGCATGCCAAGGAATTGTTTGCCTCACCGAGAGAGCAAACGGCGAGGCCATAATCTTCGTGGAGTACTTGCCTCACCGAGAAAGCAAGAACGAGATCGAGGCTGACCTGAGGTCAGAGCTCCACTGCCCAAGTTGTCAGAAAGTAGCCGAAGGTCATCTTTACCACCTCACAAATTGACCAATTGCAAATGAAAGCATAGAGCAAAAGCTATGAAGTCTGATTGGATAGGTGTCAAAGCGTGGCCATGATTATTGTCTCGGCCGAAGAAATAAAACTCTATCAAGACTGTTTTTCCTTAGGATTTAGTGTAACTCTCGTTAAAATGAACTTAGAAACAGTCTTGAATTCTTAGGCATTCCCCATTCCGATCGTTCATTCAATATATCAACAAGAAGTTCTTAGGATACTTGTATTTCTTAAGTTATTTCTTGACCACCATCTAATCCATTCAGATTTCTTAGGATACCAGTATTTCTGAAGCTATATGAAATCACTGAGCTACCAAGTCGAGTGTCACCACCAAGCTACCAAGGTCGGTGATACTATCCAACTATACACTCATTCTAAAGGCCTTGTGATTGAGGCCTAAAACTTTAAAGTCGAGAATTTGTTCCTATCTCGACCACAATCACTCGTAAGAAGTCAAGATCATAGGCAGATCACAATTCATTTGCTCATTCTTACCCACTACAACTTGTATTGGCACGCCACACACACCAAGAAGGACGTCTTTGTTACCAAATTCGTTTAGTCCATCAATTGTTTTATCCGAACAAAAATAATCGACCTAATTGGCCGAAAAGATTCAAAGGTCAACACCAATATTTCAAATAATTCACCAAGTGTCTCATTTGTTTTGATCTGAGAGAATAATAGGAGCCATGATTGGAGTAGAAACCCTTCAAACGTAACTAACTAAAGTGTGCCATCGTTTCTAATCTGCAGCAAATAAAACAACAAGCAAAGTAGCAAACATCTCCCTTTCCTTTTTAACTCAATGCGACAAATAGCCACGTCATAAATTGAAGTTCTTTAGTTAACATATTTGGGAATAGAATCAACATCAATGTATAGTTACATTGTTCCTTTTTGTTCGTTAGTTTATGGCAGAGTGCATGCACAAATTGGTAACCATAACTAATTAACAGATAAGCACTCAATATTAATATCATACTTATCCAAACCAATAATTTGTTTGCGAAAGATAACATTGTATAAGTGATCCATTGATATAAGCGGATTAAGAAATTCAATTGATATATATGTGTCACTAAATGATGCGTCGATGAAAAAATTTGGTGTTCCTTACCGTACTTTTTTTATTTATAAAGAACTCTAACGATATACGAGAGAAATTTATTGATCACCAAAAAAAAAAAAGCCCTAAATAATATCAATTGGCTCTTCAAACCATTGTACTCTAGTGTTACAAGACAAAGCAGTCCTAGCAAGTCTATGTTCCTTAATACTTTTTCTTTATCTCGTCAAAATGTGAATTTGGACTGATGATCTGATTGATTCATGTAGAACGTGTGGTCATGATTCTTGGAATCATTTCTTTAATGCCGGCCCCACAATATATATGGTAGGTCACAGCCACAAAATGCATGTGAAAAATCTTGGGGAGCCCCAACTACTAGATAACCGCGTGATACACTCCATTATTAATTTATGATCAAGTCAGAAGTAGAGATAACTACTTTTATAAATTACTAATTAACTTGAATGAAGCAGTCCCAACAGTACCAATAGCGATGATGCTTCTTCAAGCTGTACTATTCATACACGTATATGACTTCAAAGAGAGAAACATTCACAGTATGGATGAAATCGCTTGTTATGCAAGGAAACGGATGCACTGCGTTTGATGAAAACGGAGAGGTCGTTTATCGAATCGATAACTACGACAACAAGCACAGCAACGAAGTTTATCTCATGGATCTCCACGGAAAACTTCTCTTCACTGTGTGTGAGAAGAAAATCTGCGGCTTTCCAAGTTGGAAGGGATGTAAAAATACTGGTGCCAATAAGCCATTTTTTCAAGTGAGAAAAAGCTGGAGATCGCTTCTTGGAAAGAAAGGGTTTTCTTATAAAGTAACCATGAGATCTGATAGCAGTTTTTACAGGTTAGAGGGTTTGAGTGGTAAATCATCAGAATTCAGAATCACAGATGGCAATGGAGGAGTTGTAGCAGAGGCAAAGAGAAAGCAGTCAAGTTCAGGAGTTGTATTGGGAGATGATGTGTTCACTTTGGTGGTGGAGCCTCATGTTGATCACTCCTTCATCATGGCTCTCGTCACTGTTTATGGCTTAATTAGACATCAAATCTGACTTAGGGTTAGCTGTGTCAAATAGACAAACATAAATACATATACTTGTAGCAAATAGTGGTTCTTAGTGAAATCAATTGAGTTTCTTGACCAATTTTTCTCAAGATTCCAACCCTTTTGGTGGGAATTCCACCCCACTTGTATCAATATGGGATATTATAAAGTAATTAATTATTAACTCAGTCATTTCATTTCCTCTGTTCCAAATTCATTTATTGGAGTTATGAATTTAAATTGATATAAAAGTTTAGTGGGCAAGCTGAGATCAATTAAGTTTTAAGGGATAAAATGAAACAAGTGTAATAATTCGTGAAGAATAGGTAACTAATAAGCCTTAGTTAAATTTAGCTATAAATAAAGGAGGATCTAAGATCCTTTCTCTAAGGCTTCTCCTTAGCCAAAATATATGCTCCAATCATGTTAATTACTTTGCTTCTAAATTTGAAGAGAGAGAGAGAGAGGGCATGTCGAACCTTCAACAGTGAGTAGATAAAATGAGAAGAGAATCCCATTTGTACAAGCTAGTTGGACTTCCGCATGGTCATTCATTCTACAAAAGGAGGCGGCCTTTAAAAAGTTATAAAGGTGGCAGCCAAGTACAAGCAAAGTAGCAAACATCTCCTTTTCACTTTTCTTTTTTTATTCTTTTGACAACACAAATATGTTCTTTCCATGTTTGTATTAGGTCACATCTTATTTATTTAAATTTTAAATAGCCATACTAATCTTCTTTCTTTTCTTTTTAGTGTTACTTATAAGCTTAAGATTCGTTAATGGCTTCTCTTTGCAAAGTCACTCAATGCGACAAATAAGCATGTCACCCTCCATATATTTGAGTTATTTTGGAAACCATGTACTAACAGATAAGACCTCAATGATCATAATTAATCAACAGATTCCATATAATTAATATTATTTGTTGGTTAGAGAATTAAGAAATTGATCATATAAACACAAAATCCCGACAAGTTCCCTCTTATAATACTCATGTGAGCCTAGAGGTAGTCAAAAAATGTCGAAAAAATGTGGTTTAGTATAAATATATATGTGTATATGTATACGCGCACACATAATGGATCATCTAAAAAACGTTTTCAAACTACTTTAAAGCTCTAAAAAAGTTTTTCAAAACACTTTAAACCAATTTCTATGCACATACAAAAAACGTGGAGGTCTTGGAGCAGCAAAACTAATAATTAAACCATTTTATTCTTAGTTCCCAATTTTCAGTACTGACTATAAATTACTAACTTGTTTCAAGTCTCACAAACCAAAAATTAAACTTGTCTCATATATCTCTCCTCTCCCAAATGGCCAAGGTTCATCCCCTCATAATACCCAGTACTACTGATGAGGCTTCTTCTGCTACTGGTTTTGCTTCTTGTTCTAATAATAAATATATAACTTCAAAGCGAGAAACATTCACTATATGGATGAAATCGCTTGTGATGCAAGGAAACGGATGCACTGCGTTTGATGAGAATGGAGAGATTGTGTATCGAATCGATAACTACGACAACAAGCACAGCAGCGAAGTTTATCTCATGGATCTCCAAGGAAAACTTCTCTTCACCCTGTGTGAGATGAAAATGTGTGTTTTTCCAAGTTGGAAGGGCTACAAAAGCAGTGGTGTCAAGAACAATAAGCCATGGTTTCAAGTGAGAAAAAGTTGCAGATCAATTCTTGGAAAGAAAGGGTTTTCCTATAAAGTAACCATGAGATCTGATGGCAGCTGTTACAGGTTAGAGAGTTTGAGTGGTAAATCATCAGAATTCAGAGTAACAGACAGCAATGGAGGAGTTGTAGCAGAGGCAAAGAGAAAGCAGTCAAGTTCAGGGGTAGTTTTGGGAGATGATGTGTTCACTTTGGTGGTGGAGCCTCATGTTGACCACTCCTTTATCATGGCTCTTGTCACTATTTATGGCTTAATTAGACATCAAATATGACTTAGAGTTAGCTGTATCAAATATACATATACATACTTGTAGCAAATAGTGGTGTATAGAATGAAATCAAAACATAAATTATTTTTTTACCCATATTTCATGTTCTTGTAGTTTTCAATATGAACTCATCTTAACTCCATTCAGTTCCTGGCTTACACCTTCACATTCATAGTAAGAGTTCGACTCTTACCCTGCTCGCTTTTCCTACAATTTTTTTATTTACAACAACAAACAAGATTTTAAATTCTTCTTATACACAAAAATTTCTCACTATTGTGAGTGTGGCAAAATTGATTGATACTAAAAATAGGGATGTTATCTTAACTATGGGATATTATCTTTATTTGAAAAGATAATATCACCAATTAAGATATTATCCAAAATTTGGAGATATCATCATCAATTAGTGATTTGATCCCAATCAAATCCCTAATTGACTCAATGTCACGCCCCGGATCCGGAGGTCGAAAGAAATCCCGCACCCGGTGCGTGAGAATAAAAAGTAAAATAAAATAAAAAGAAAGCTGAAACAGGGTTTAAAATGAACTTCTCTTATAAAAATAGCTCAAATTTCTTACAACTTTACAAGAAATAAATAAAGCTCTATCACTCTCATATAATTCAGCTTCAACCTGTTTAGTCCTTGTCTTGCCCACTAATTTATCTAAAAAATTAAATAGGGTGAGGGATGAGCAACCACCACTCAGTGAGTAGATTATGTAATATGTCAGTCAAGCAATGCCGTTTTACACACTCTAGAAAATATCATGAAAAGATACACCAATCCAGATCATATCACATCATCCCTTCATAACTCGGTTATCCTTCATAGCATGTAACCAACCACGTGACCCCTATTGGCCTCACTGCCCTATGTCCCCGTGTGGTACATCTATCCCTCAAATACTTCAACATTAAAGTTTTCATGTTCCATGAATAATACATACTTCATAAATATTCCAATCAATTGTAACCAACCACGTGACCCCTATTGGCCTCACTGCCCTATGTCCCCGTGTGGTACATCTATCCCTCAAATACTTCAACATTGAAGTTTTCATGTTCCATGAATAATACATACTTCATAAATATTCCAATCAATATATATAGTGAAAGATTGCACCAAATTAGACATGCTTGACTTGAAATAGAGAGATATTTGTAAATAGAACAAATCCATGATAATTCATGGTTTTCATATTTTATCACAAAATAAGAAATTTTAGAGCACATTACATAAACCACTCACCTCGATAATGAGAGCTCTTAAAATAAATTGGCAAGACAACCCATCTACCTATCTTTATACACTATCACTCAAAGCAAGCTCCAAGAGTTTCATCACCACTCTCTCTCCTTCTTTCTCTCTTACTTTTTCCTCTTTCGATTTCTTTCTCTCTTCTCATGCACAACTATGCATGAAAACAAGAAATGATGATCCTATTTATACTAAGAACAGGCAGCAACAAACTTGTTATCCAAGTTTTGGATAACTACATCAACCCAATGACAGTAAGAAAAAGATATACAAAATATCTTTTATATGATAGCCACTTGTAAGTCAATTACTATGCTTGCATGTGCTAAAGCCACCTCTTACTTCTAATATTATAAATTAAATATTTAATATATATATAAATATGGTACTTCACACTCAATCTCTACAATTTGGGAAAAGAATATATATATGGCTACATTCAACACACAAGATAATCTTAAACCTGGCAAAAATACCCGAGAAACTCCACTCTCTCTCTCTCTCTCTCCAAGTAAATGGCACTATCACTGCCACCGGTCACACCTCTCATCTCTCCATATTTTCATACACGGCTCCGGCCACCCGGTTCTCCCCATAGAGAATACTTCGTACCCTTTTTTAGTTATTATTTCTCCTAGATACAATCACACTAAGTGTGTGGTCTTTTACTCCAATTTGATTTTTCAGGAATCAAGGAAGAGAGAGAAAGAAATTCAAAAGGTAAAGGATCTTCAAGCGGATATTCTCCCATTAGAATATTTCCACAAACAGTGACCATCATGCCATTATATTTTTGGATCAGATTGAAGTCAACATAAGAGGATGATGATAACTAAAAACAAACAATAAGTGTGTTGCTTGTTGTTCATGGCATCAAATTCTTCCATATATTTAGGATAAATTGATTGGATAACAACAAACAAAAGAAAAGCCCTCCCAAGACAATGATGAAAGTTCCCCTTTATCTTCCGCATGCACTTATATATTGTACAATTGTTTACACATATGTAACTATTAAAGCATATTTGAGTCCGTAGGGTTAAGCAGATCAAGAAGTGAGGGAAAATGGAGGAATGAGTTAGAATTAGGATATGTCAAGCCATACCATGAAAATTTGAACTTTGTCGTCCCTTATATGCACAAGATTCCTTAGCAGATATAGCCACCCACAACAGAGGACGTGTGACACTTTCCCTATATTAATTAAATTATCATCAAATCATAATAAGGATACGGATATGAACAAAAATTATAGAAACCATAATTAATTTTCGATATACATGCAAATACGTAAAACAATATTTTATTAAAATGAAAATAAATTAAAAACAAATAATAAATAATAAATAAATAACTTACTGACAAGTCGATAGACTAACATAAGCTAGCCATGTGTAGCAACCAAATAATGTTAAAATCTCTATTCCTTTAATACTGGACAGACAGCCTACAAGGAGTCGAACTATTAAAGCATATTTGAGTCCGTAGGGTTAAGCAGATCAAGAAGTGAGGGAAAATGGAGGAATGAGTTAGAATTAGGATATGTCAAGCCATACCATGAAAATTTGAACTTTGTCGTCCCTTATATGCACAAGATTCCTTAGCAGATATAGCCACCCACAACAGAGGACGTGTGACACTTTCCCTATATTAATTAAATTATCATCAAATCATAATAAGGATACGGATATGAACAAAAATTATAGAAAACATAATTAATTTTCGATATACATGCAAATACGTAAAACAATATTTTATTAAAATGAAAATAAATTAAAAACAAATAATAAATAACTTACTGACAAGTCGATAGACTAAAATAAGCTAGCCATGTGTAGCAACCAAATAATGTTAAAATCTCTATTCCTTTAATACTGGACAGACAGCCTACAAGGAGTCGAAAAAAGGTTGAAGATAAACATGTGGCTATGAACATATCCCCA